AATTATTACAGTTAAAAATAGTTATTTTTACTTTATAAAGAGTTAAACATCGCAACAAATAAAGATTGAACGGAATAGAAGAACAAGAGGACTGATCCACGGGAAGTTATGGTGTATATTCTGAATTCTTGAGAGTTGATCCGCATTCTAGGCACACGCCCGTGCACGTTCCGCGCGTTCACGTGCTTGGTTCAGCGTGCGGAACGATCCGCAGCAATCCGCACTGATCCGCATTCTAGTAACGCCCTATAGTATCTATGCTATCAGTCGCGACGCCAACGGTGAATTTTATTTTCCAAGTGACGTCATAATGGCTGCCAAGTGATGGCTAAAGCTGTGTTTAGTTTTGTGCAGTTTACAAGATGGTGGGTAGTCTATAGCTCTAAGAAGCAAATTCAAACTTGAAGAAAAAAGGTATAGAATCAATTGGTTAGTTTTCAGTCTGAAATGTAAGTATATTTTGCTTGTTATTGTCGCTGTTTGGAAAATGGTGTACACTATCTAGGTATATAATAGTACTGGGACTGGCCAGAACAGCTCAGAATTAGGTATGCAACTGGCCTATCAGTAGATCTTTGTGTATGCAAAGTTTCGTTTTGATACTGTTATCTAGAACGACAGTTGCATCCATAATGTAGATTCAGCCTGCATGGTCCATTCTTTCATGCCATATTTTGACTGTTCTGTTCCTTTTTTCTACAGATTCCACACTCAGGATCATTAATCAAGTCATTTTACCTCAATAGAATTGTTTGAAATCCTTTTAGAGCTAGATTTTATACTTGTCATTATAGTCATATTATGTGCCATTGACTTTCAAAGACCACAGCATCCTTATTTCTTGCTGGAACAACTTTAAACTTCTGGAGTATATTCTTCTAGCTACTATCTTGTTGTAAGCAAATGGACAAGAAGCTGGAGTTGTCTAGAACACTGTACGCATCCGGTAAAGTCAAGGACATCAGTTGCTTGCAGTTCTGTTATAGTTTATTTAAACTGGTTGATGTTTTTTATGGTGATAAATATGTATGTTCTGTGTATTGTATGCAAATTTCATAGTGAAACTATAAAATGAAAAATAAATATAAAATAAAGTAGCAACTCATTAATTATTCATACTGTCAAGTGTATTACAATAAAATTATACAGGCTCTTATGACTTCCGGTACCGCTGGCGTCACGACTGCTATAGTGCAAATTTGGTGAGAATAAGCAACTGTGTCCCATAATACCAGCTGTCCCACTTTACACGCATATCCTCTATGAAAAATTAAAATAAAGCCTAGGTTCTGCAGTGTTGATGAAGGGACTTCTCTGCTGTTTCCTGAACAACAGAAACAAAATATGATAGCTTCTTTGCTATTAACTATTTCCTCAATGATTTTTACAAATAGTATTCCTTGAATTTAAGAAAATCACTACCTACAAGTGTTAGAGTCATATAAAATAGATATGTGAAAGGTACAAACATAGGCGTATTTGGACCCGGGCAAGCACGGGCTTTGCCCGGGTAGAAATTTGCAGCCATAATTATATTCATTGGTTATTGTATTATACACAGTATTGTAACAGTGGGAGGACTGTTAACCACAATAGTTAGCACTGTTAACCACAATAATTTAGCACACACCTACATGTTACAAGTGTTTATTCAAGCACCAGGGCAGTTATTGGTCTTAAATTTAAAATGCATTTGCCCAAATTGCTCCAATCAATAGTTAAAGTATAATTAATTAATTAGATATATGAATAATTAATTAATTATATTTAATTAATTATATGAATAATTAATTAAGTGCCCTAGTAGCTGGAGAAGGCTAGATACGCCTATGGGTACAAAACTATGGTGGCCCAGAAGTATAATCCGTTGACGGGGGCGCTCTAATGTCCCGTCAACGGGGCCGGTAATTACCGTCAACGGATAGTGCCCGTTATCAAAACGGTCAATAAAAAAGTGCAAAATCAGCAAACACTCTTTCTCGTGCACGTGTTAAAATGGCGGACCAGTCTGACAGTAGTCATTCCAGCAGGCAGGAGATTGTCTCTTCCTTAATCAACCTGTCCGAAACTATATGTGAAAAGGCATTAGAGCTTGAAGGAGTTGAAGGAGCTGAAGGTTAACTATTTTTCATTTTTTAATTCAAACTTTATACTAATCATAAATTCATAATACTCATAGATTTAGTAAAGCGTGGTAGAGCTCTCCAAAATAAGAGTAAACAGAAAAAGCAAGCAAAACCTAGACCTGATGCTGTGTCAAAAAATGATGTCCAGGTAC